TATGCTGTTACGCAGCTAAGACTTGGAACAGTTTATTAGAGTGTCAGTTAAGAGAGTCAAGGAACTCTGCGCATCTATATCCCCAGTTTACTATCAGAGAAACACACAGAAATACTGTTGTCTATTCTTCCTCGTTGCTTCTTATCTGATACTAAGCCGAGTGATTTAGAAGCAGAGAAGGAAAATAAGGAGACATGAAGGATTGGGGATACAAATTAAAAGATGAACAAAAAGAAAAGCAGTCGGAAAAGTGCTACTATAGAAAAGACGCTGCGTATTTGTATGAACAAGATGCAAATGGTGAAAGCAGGCAGACATTGAACAATAAATCCTAAAATTGATTGCTTAAATTATTTTTATCTATTACTATCAAAGGTCAATCAACAATTCAGTTCAAGTAAATATGGCTCCATGAAATTCTTGTTGACACCCTCTAGCGTTCTAAGATATGCCCCTGCACATAAGAAAGGGAAGGCACAATACCTTCTAGAAAACTGATGCCAAGATCAGTAACTCTACTGCACGAAAGCTCAAGACTTTTCAAATTTGCAAGCTCTGGAAGCATATTGAATTGAAAAATTCTACTGTTAGTTACTGAGCCATGTCCTAAACAACAAAAAGATGACTGATGATTAAACTTTTATATACACATCCCCGTGCTGACAATTATATGATTCTTAAACATTGATAGTTGCATTTAATGTCAATCAGTGCGAATATACCCCAGTGAAGAAAATATCCAACAAATAGAAAGAAGATAAATGAAACTAAATTTCACATAAAATGGGCCATTCTTCATAGAAGCAACATTTGCAATAATGCAATGAGCCAATGACATTTTCTGCTGTGGCTTGTCTGCTGTGTGTTACTGTAAGAGGAGACAGTCAAGATTTGTGTGGGCAAAGATGGAAAATATCTTTCAACTTCCATAAGACAGACTGCCAGTTTGATATAAGTGCCATGACATTCATCCTGCTACTTGCTTATTCAAAAATAAAACGAAAACACCAAGGAAAATGGATGATTGAGAATAAGAGAATTTGAAATCGAAAAGTGGGTGGATAATTTCTCCTCTTGGAGTAGCATGCAGTAGACAATCCCCACCTGACATCCAACCCAAACTACATCTGCAATTACAGTACATCTCATTTGTTAAGCAAAAATACCCATAGTTCCTGCAAGCGCACAATGGTAATCTGAAAAGGAACTATTACACACTAAAAAATGCAGAGCGCATAAAAGAAAACCGACACAATTAATCTAGGTGGTATTCACTTTTTCAACTGTTGAGACTTTCAGCTGTTGTCATCAAAGAGAGGCAAGATACAACTAACCTGAGAGAGGCTTCATGTCAGCATCGGTTATGCAATTACACCACTTCAAATTGAGAGATTCCAACTTGATTAAGCCTGAGAATTATGAATTAGATTAAACTGAAATTCGTAGGTTTTCAGCTAGACCCACCATGGAAAAGCATGGAAACATCACGCAACTTTAGAACCAGAAGTCGAAGACCAAGATGCCAAAGTCCCTTTTCCCAATTACAAGTCATCTCATTCATTTTTCTCAACTATTGTTGCTCTAAAGCACTTACATATTCTTACTTAACTTCCATTTTCCAAATCTCCCATTCTAAAGCTATAACTAGATCAACATTTGTTCATTGATAGGAGAGACAGGAGGATGAACTATTCCCAAAATTCAATGTAATGCAAAGGGGGCCTTGTGAAACTGAACCCCATCTGAATTCGGACGCACTACAACATGCAATTTTTTTTTTTTTTTTTTGAAAATCAGGATAAGTGAAAAATTAATGACAATTAAATATCTGCATTGCAACAAATAGAAACTGTAACAAAGCGAGATTCAAAATTACAACAGCATGGCATGTATCAATTCCTTTAGAGAACACATGCTAAGAAGGGCAGAAGAAGAAGAAGAAGAAGAAGAAGAAGAAAGCGAACATCATCTACATGTCTATAAGACAAGGAAAACATGGCAGGATGTTATCAGCAATACATTAAGGAACCAACCTTGGAGATGAACAAGGCCTCCATGAACCTCAGGACATCTCTCCAAATCCAACTTGACCAAGTTAACAAGACCAGAAAAGCTACGCATTCCTTGAGCAGAAATCCAATTGTTTCTTCTAAAACTCAGACTAGTTAAGTTTGTCAGACCTGAGACATTCAATTAAATTGGAATTAAACAAGGAAAAGTTAACACGTCAACAAAGTTCTGAGCCAGAAAAATCTTCATATGATTATCAATAAATCAGCATCACATGAAAAGACAGCAAAATTATGAAAATTCAGAAAAAGGTGCCCCAAAGAATGCCTCAGGCAACTACTAAACAAACAAACAAATGACAATACATCGCATGTATTTATCATCTCAAGTGCAATAATAAATCACATATTCAAGATAAAAAAAAAATTATATTTGATTATTTGATGATGGTTGCTGCTCAAAGTCACATACCTATCATATTTTAATAAGCTGAAAAACAAACAAGGAACTATAGGACCAACTGAAACGCCAAAATTCAAGCAGATTATCTGCTTAATATTTTTATATTTAAATTGTTCAATATCACATAAGGTATCTTTCACTTACCGTTCCTAGGAAAAAGAAAATTCATAAAAGAAAAAGTGAGATGCATGCATAAGGATAGGTACATTTTTTTGGACGATAACAAATAGATAATAATCATGTCAATGCAATAAATAAAATTTACAATGCTGATTTTTCATTAATGGTATCGGATTTTCTTCCTTTTTCCCCATTTCTTTTGATAAACAAAGTCCATAGACAGAAGGCAAAGGACCAAATATACATGACTACAATACAAATGCATGACACCATGTACCAATATGGAAGACATAAAGAAACCCAGAAGAAGAAAAGATTACCACTGATGTATTTAAGACCATAGTCTGAAATGTGGTCACAATGATTAAGATTCAGGGCTAGGAGATTTTTGCAATCTTTTAGATAAGTCAGCCCATAATCAGTGACATCTGAACCAGAAAGATCCACAGAAAGTAGAGACGACCCTTGTGATGAAATGACATCCATCCAACTATCATTCACCCCATCATATTCTCCCAAGTAAAGATCCTGTTAAACATAAGGCAGGATGAGCATGGATGATTTAGATGAAGAACAGATAACTGAGCAGAATTGAAAACAAAATTATATAAACTACAAACATGCTATATAATTTGAAATGATTTACCTGGAGAGCACAATCTCGAAAGACTTCAAGGGAAGCAGCAGTTAGACGATGGCAACGCACCAATTCTATAAAAACTTGCTGACTATATCCCGTGGGAGCATAGACATCGAGCTATATCTATCAATATCCTGTTGAAGAAAAATTGCAGGTTGCAGTGATTATACCTAAAGAAAAAGTGGATAGTCAAGACCAAATATAACTTTTAGCGTTGGAAGTACCTGACTTATTCTGTGGATGCACAAGTCCAACAGTGATGGACATTCTCCATTTTGTAAGTGGAAATTCATCCTAGGATTAGAAAATGACGATGTGAGCCATTTCAAACTCCCACTTTTGCAATATTTTTTCCGTGAAAGCCCTTCTTGAGGACTATCTTCAACGTCCTGCTCTTGCTTCCTAGAACAAACTCCTCCCATTCAGGAAATATCTAGTGATTTCAATAACCCAAATATGAATACATGCACTCTATTTCAGCCTGCAGAAATGAAGGGGAAGAGCAAAGCCAAACAAGCTTTCAGCGGAGTTGATCATCCAGAACTTGACTTCTGGTGAAAAAAATTAAGAAGTATTACGAGTTATAGAGTAGACTAGGGTGAGTTTGCCCACACCAATTCGAATCACTAAAGCCCAACGATCAAAATGACTCAAGCAGTTTTATTTTAGCAGTTTATGATCTTTATGTTAGGCATGTAAGCATATTTCTAGCTTTTTATTTTATTTTATCTTTTAAAAAAGATACAAGAATACGAAATGGCAGTTAAAAGTAAGAAACAAGCAATCGAGTAGAGAACGAGGTATCATTATTAACCGTGTATATTAATCAGTGCGAGTCAAATGAATCCCAGCAAACCTCTGACTTTGCTAAGCCAATATCTATGTCTAATTCCAACATTCTGTTGCCTCCAGTCTCCAACGATCTCATGATTAAACACCATTTGCAGTCAATACATTTCAAGAAGATCCCATAAATAAAACTTGATGCTTAGAAGTATCTTATGACAAGACTTTTACATTAATCAGTATATCAGCAAATTCGCGCGCGCGTTTTCATGGCCCTGTATATGCTAGGAGCTACCAAACCATACAATATATCTCGCAGAAAATTACTGTTAAATAGCTACGAAAAAATAAATAAAATAAACCACTCTACGCCACCTCCTTAATAAAAAGAACATCCAAACATTGATCGGCTTCAAACACTAAAATATCTTCAGATATAGATACCTGCAAAAGCACGATAAAGCACAGAAAAGACTATATATAACAGAACGCGCCAAAAGACATAGACACTAATACCCTGGACTCAAATTCCAGAAACTACCCGTAGCTACCTATAAGCACAAATAATATAAGAACCGAGCAGTCGGCATTTTCCGGCTGACGAAAGAGATGAAGAAAGTTTTCTACAAACAGGTCGAAATTCAAGAAGAGAAATCAGTGTAAACCAGATATACCCGATCATCTTGCTTATAGTTTCAGGTTCAGTGACCCCAACAGAAATGAACCAGAAGCTCTAAGAATGGAAAGTAAAATGGAGAAAGGAGGTGGTGGGTAGGAGAGAAAAGTGCGACGTGTTACGTGTCTGTGTGACCGAGCCAGAATCTGAACCTACGGATGGTTGACAAGTGTCGAATCTAGTCAGCTGTGGACGGGTACATTTCGAACAGTTAGATACAGAAAACGAGAAATCAATGGGTGAATCGGACGAAAAGGTGGGCTCACAAGTTTCCACAATGGGCTCTATCCGTTCGCTGAGCGGTGGGGCCCGCCGGCCGCCCTGTGACTCCATCCAACAGAAAGATATTTGGACTAGATATTATTTTCTGTTCTAATTATACCAACAATTGACTTATTTAAAAAAATTAAATAAATAAATAAAATTAGTTATTTATAATAAATAAGTATTATTTTTTAAAAATATTTTTATTAATTAAATATATTAGTTAGAACTATTATTATTAGAAGCATTACTTTAAAAAAAAATATAAATAAAAAGACGTGATGAATTAGCATTTTATATTTAAGACTAAAATAAAAATCTAATGAGATTTTGTATTAAGGATAGGAAGTAGTATTAATTTTATTTTTATAATGTACGGACCTTTTGGGGGACTAATATAATGTACGGATCTGGTCCTGGATATTAATCCAGATTTTGTGGGAAAAATAAAATTCAGATCTTACTATTGTTATGCCCGTTTTGATTTTGTTAATCTCAGTGTTGAACACTCAAATTTACTTGAAATCTTGAAATATAGATGGAGCCTCTCCTTAATTCAACCACTACTGCGAATATTTTTTGTGTTCTTAAATTTAATTTTCTGCAATTACCTTTTTGACATGTATTATTTATTAATATTTTATCAATAACGCGGGCCATCAGCAATAGTCGCACGGAATTTACTTTTTTTTTTTTGTAGTACAATGGGATAAACCATTAAAAATAAATACTGATAATGAGGTACTACAATTGATCTTAACCAAAAGGCCGAGAAAGGTATACTATTAAAACTAAATAAAGTCATCTAAACAGTAATCAAAGATTCCTTTGGTACTGTTTTTCTTCTTCTTGTTTTTATTAAACTAGCTACAAGGTAATTTTTCGCCGTTTGGCCTATCTTGCAGAGTTGCTCATACTAAATACTGATTTTAATTATAAAACTAATTAACTAATATAAAGAGATCAAGAAAATAAGTTAAGTTAGTTATTTGTAATAAATAGATGTTTTTTTCTAAAATATCCTTGCTAATCAAGTATATTTGTTAGAACTACTATTATTAAAAAGACTATCTTAGAAAAAAATAGATAAATATAAGAGACAAAGTGAATTAGAATCTTATATTTAGGATTAAAATAAAAATCAAACAAGGTCTTGTATTAAAAACCAGAGCTAACAGTTTTTTAATATGATTCACCACTTCAGCAATTCATATGAAAGACATGATGTTGATCCCAGTGTATGGTTGTTCTAGCCAGATGAGGCGCTAAGTCCCTTAAGTAATGCTTACGGTTCGAATCTTGAAATTGTGAATAGAGCTATTGGTTTAGGAGAGGAAAATTCACCAAAAGAAAAAAGAGGAAAGAAAAAGGGAACAGAGGAAAAAAACATATTGGGGGATGGAAGTAACAGAGACCAACTTTTGCATTAAAAAAATGAAATGAATTTATTTATTGGTGTAAAAGCAAATTTCGTTTTTAAATTCTTATTAAAGTCGTCCATAATACTACATATATATAAGAAGACCAAAGTATTTATAAAAGAATTGCAAACGCCAAAGTCACAATCAAGACATTTCCGGTGGCTGCACAAGTGCAGAAACTAGAAAAGCCATTCTAACCAATTCAACACTTGGAATTCCAGCAAGATCTTATGCTTGATATCCACGCTGTGTAGCTTAGGAATACGCATGCACCATCAGACTTTCAATCCTGAATGGATGGCAACCACTCCTCCAACTAGATTCTCGTACTCGACTTTCTGGAACCCGGCATTGGCAATCATTGAAGCAAATTTATCCTGCTCATCAGTTGCAATACAGATTAGTCAACATAGAATAAGATCCTAGCCACATCAGCAACCTTCATTGACATTTGCATTCGATCGGAAAACTGCATTGTGATAGGCATGTTCAAATTTTTACTTGGCTTTTCTATTTGACTGTTTAAGGGGTTTCAAGCTTTAGGAGGCAAAATGTCATGGCATAATTTTCTTTGATCATTTCAAGAACAAATTAATTGAAGACATTGAAAGCTACCAAGAAATGGAAGAATAAGAACCTGTGGGGGGAAACGCCGAATACTCTCAACTAAGTATTGATAGGATGCTCGATCACCAGCAACCAACTCTCCCATGGCAGGAATAACTGAGAAAGAATAAAGGTCATACCTGAGAGAAATAAAAAGTGAAACATTAAATTAAAGGTTGAGTTAAACATGAAGGCAGAAGGAAGTAAAGAGAGTAAACATGAATAATTACGTTATCCGTAAAAATATGCGGATTGAAGTTCGGACATTTATTATTTATTTTCACTCTCAAATGTAATAGTATGCACATTCTATTTCACTCTGTTCTCTCAAATTTAATAACCCATATGCATTCATGTCAGAAAATAGGGCAAATTATACTTACAATTCTTTAAATATTGGAATGTCAACATGGCTCAATTCAAGGCAGAGAAACCTTCCCCCACGTTTTAATACCCTGTTTAGCAAAAAAATGGTTACTGGCCATACATTTCTATTGATTGATAGTTCTCAGCCACAAAGGTGTACATAAATATCTTTAAAAGTGAAGCTTACCTATAAGCTTCATTAAGAACCTTCTCTATGTGTGTAACATTTCTAATCCCAAAAGCAATAGTGTAGCCATCCATTGAATCGTTTTTGAAACTCAAGTTTTCAGCATCTCCCTCTACCCATACAAGCGAGCGATCTTGTCCAAAGCCTATTTAATCACCAGAAAATATTCAATTCAAACAAATCAGGAATAAGTTTAGCCATATTCCTGTACTGAAGCTTAAAACCAATTGGCCAAATTTGAAGGCTTTCTAGGTTACCTCTCTCCAAGGCCCGTTGTTTTCCAACATTTAGCATGCTAGGATTAATGTCACAAACATATATTTGAGTTTCCTCCTCTAAAGTATCTTCAAGCACATCTCGAAGTCCTCTCAGTTTAACTTGGTTTATAGTCTCCAAGATTCTAAAAGCAACGTCCCCTGTAAATTGCGGAATTTCAGAATAACTGGTTTTCTGAATTCATCTTATTATTTTGAAGAAAGAAAATACATATATGTAGAGGGTTAGCTACAGAAAAAAGCCACAGCAACTCACTCTAGGCAGACAGAGAATACAAACCAGGGAATAAACGAGCATTAAAGATAAAACAAAAGGACAAATAAAATGTTGATATCAATTACAATAAATGCAGAGAATAAATAGGGCATAAATCATGGGATTCCAACATGAATGAATATGTCTGACACAAAAAAAAAAAAATTTATTACGCGCACCTTAAGATATTCAAGTCTAGCATAGAAGACATACAGTGCCAATGTCAATTTATTTCTATCCATATTTACAAGAGGATATTCCGGGGAAGAAACGAGAAGCAGGCTTTACCACAAAAGAAGGGTCATACAATTGTATTACTTGAACAAACACAAAAGATAGAATTCATGGAAGACTTAGCTTCTGAACCAGTTAAATGCCCATTGTATAGCCTTAATATCTGTTTTGCGTTTAGGAATTGCTCGGAACTCCATATTATATTCACTGTATGACTGTTATCACTCAGTTAAATAATGCTAAACAGTCCCCAGCATATAATCCCAGAAGATAACTTATCTTTAGCACAGAAATATACAATAAGAACATAGATATTGACCATTTGGTTGTCATAAGTGGACCAATTTGAAATGCTTTATGGACAAAAGAGGCATAAATCAGCAAACTCATGCAGCTAGTAAACTCAATTCTTGTTTTACCCAAGACATAGCTTCAGTGTGCAATCCTTAACTCCGTTACATTTATAATTTTTCTCCCACACAAATTTTGTCAATATCTGTAGATTTACTTGTAATTTTTCAAACTTATATGTAGAAGCATTATAAAACATATGTTGTGACAAAGAAGCCCACCTGTCCCGCCAGCCACATCAAGATGCTTCATTCCAGGAAAAGGGTTTAGCTTGGAAACTAGTCTGAGAACACATTGAAGTCAAGGTAAACAGCTAAAAAAGGATTCAAATTGGAATGACACAAAGGGCACAGCTTCTGAGAATCTAACCTATCCTTCCACAATCTATGTAATCCAGCACTCATTAGATCATTCATGACATCATAGCTTGCGGCAACATTTGTGAAGACATTACCAACCATTTGGGCCTTTTCTTCCTCATTCACTTGTTTAAATCCTAGATGTCAAAGGGATAACATATTATAATCCGACAATGAAGAAGAAAAGTATTACAGCAAATCTGCTGATGCATTGTCTAGCAGCATAGCATCACATAACCAATTTTTCCCTAAAAAAATTGAGGAACTATATGATTATCAGTTTCCATTCCGCATTGGAATTTCAACAAGTCATAACTTCCCTAGAATTTTAATCAAGTTATCTTTCAATCTTCAGGTTAATATTATTTGATATATTTTCATTCATGAAGATTGAACGAAAGCAATTACTCCAATAATTTCCGGGCACTAGTTTCATAATACAAAATAGCTACCTTTTAGTTGAACCAATAAGCAAAGTTATAGCTGAAAGGATACTAGCAAACAGATAGATACTTCTTCTACCAGAATGGAAACTCCAAACAACTAGGCAAAATTAAGATAATTGTACAATACGTGCATTGTAAGTAAAGATCAGACACAATGCATGCCCATATAGAGAGAATTGAAAAGTAAGAGAATCTACACCAACCAAAACTGGTGGCATGAGAATGTAGCGGGGAAGTGGAAGATAACATGGGCAAGAATTTATTCCCCAACTTTCTAGTCACAGTTCTCAGAGACATGGCTAAGCAGACCTGAAAGAAACAAAACAAAGAAAACAAAAATAAAAAAGAACGAGTTACATCCAGGGTTCAGAAGTACACTAACGATGTTACAGCTATATTTACACCCCAGCTATTATTACCATGTAGCATTGGAATCATTTCAAGGGGGGGAAAAAAAATCATACCAAGTCAAATTAAATAAATAATCATCCCCTAATTAGAGAAAGGGAGATGTTGGCAAAAGAAAAATTAGAGGAAGGGAAATAAAAGAGGCGGCATTGGGTGCCTAAAGTATGCGTAATTGCCCGGGAAGGAAAGATAATGGTATTTTAAAAGAAAAAATGTAACGGCTGGGGATAGAGGAAACCGACCGTGAGGGGAATAGATTGCAGCAAACTCGACGACGAAGCGGGTAACAGAGCCGAAGGAAGCTTGAGCAAAAGTGAATGAATATGCAAGGAAGGGCCAACTGCAAACTCTAGAAAGCTGCGTCTAGCTTCTACCGCCCAGATGGTTGGACTCGGAGATTCGCAGGCTTCGCAAATTCTCTCCTCCTTGGTTTTTTTTTTTTTTTTGTGTTAAATATTTTTGGGCGAGATTTTTGGTTTATTTCCATTAGCACAATAACATGTTGATTGTGGTACCGAATAACGATGTCAGAAGAGGTTTTCTCATTACAATCTCTCTCTCTCCCCCTCTCTCATATAAAAAATCGCTATAACTATTGTTATACTCGCATAGTTCCTTAAATAATCAATGTTAAAATTAGTTAAAAATAAAAAATGAGTCATAAATATATATTTTCTAAATTTATCTTTATTTATTAAGAAAATAAATGTGAGAAACAATAAATAAAAAAAGATAAAAAATTTAGGAAATAATATTAATAAAAAAGAACACTAAATACAATTAACTAAAAACAAAATAGAAAAAAAATAATAAATGTTAAGATAAACTGAAAAATAAAGTTTATATTTTAGATCAAACGCTTCTTTAAGTAAAAATTATATTACTTTTGATTTTTAATATAAAAACTTATTAAAAATCCAGCTTGCCTTTTTAATTTCAATTTTATCTAATGTATTTCTGGTACTATTTCTGTGAGGAGGAAATTTGCAATGGCGGCTAAAAACTCAAGTCGGTCTCCACGTTCTTATTTGACCTCTGACATGAACGACGGCAATCGACTGTGAGGCGCTGGTGGACGCTTTGCTCTTCCTTATTGGAGATCATCTTCGGGTGTTCCCGGTTAGAAATTTCTTTCTTCATTTCTAAAGGGCAAAGTTCCTACTTTTTTTGCGAACAGGGTGATGAACTAGTGTTTGATGTGAAAATTTCGTAGGATACCAGAATTAGTGTTTTTTGTCAAGCTCGCTTGTTTTTGTTGCACTTATTGGCAATAAATTGATTCGTTATAGGAACTGCGATTTTGAATTCAATTTAGTTGATATGGAAGTCGATGATGATTACGTGGAGTATGTGCCCGTGGCTAAGCGTAGGGCCATGGAGGCTCAGATGGTTCTTGAACGAAAAGGGAAATCTTCCTCAACAGTCGATGGTGATTTGGAGAAGTCAAGAATGGCTGAAGCTAAACCTAGTCTTCTGGTTAAGGCTTCCCAGTTGAAACGGGATCAACCTGAAATTAGTCCGACAGAGCAGATTGTTCGACAGGAAAAGGAGATGATTGAGAACTTATCAGATCGAAAAACCCTAATGTCTGTTCGAGAATTGGCTAAAGGAATCACTTATACGGAGCCTTTGCCTACGGGATGGAAGCCGCCTTTACCCATTAGAAGAATGTCTAAAAAGCAACGTGATTTGATTCGGAAGCAGTGGCACATATTAGTCGACGGTGAAGATATTCCGCCTCCAATTAAGAATTTCAAGGATATGAGGTTTCCTGAGTCAATTTTGAACAAGTTGAAAGCCAAAGGGATTGTGCAGCCAACACCTATTCAAGTGCAAGGCCTTCCTGTTATCTTATCTGGAAGGGATATGATTGGGATTGCATTTACAGGATCGGGGAAAACTCTAGTCTTTGTATTACCAATGATCATGCTAGCTTTGCAGGAGGAAATTATGATGCCTATTGTTCCCGGAGAAGGTCCATTTGGTTTGATTGTTTGTCCTTCGAGGGAACTCGCTAGGCAAACATACGAGGTGGTTGAGCAGTTTCTGATGCCTTTGAGAGAAACTGGATATCCTGAACTCAGGCCTTTGCTTTGTATTGGTGGAGTGGATATGAGATCTCAGCTAGAGGTTGTGAAGAAGGGTGTTCATATTGTTGTCGCCACCCCCGGGAGGTTGAAGGATATGCTGGCCAAGAAAAAGATGAATCTTGATAATTGCAGGTATTTAACATTAGATGAGGCTGATAGATTGGTAGATTTGGGATTTGAAGATGACGTAAGAGAAGTGTTTGATCACTTGAAAGCTCAAAGGCAGACTCTCTTATTTTCTGCCACTATGCCAACCAAGATTCAGAATTTTGCTCGAAGTGCCCTGGTGAAACCTGTTATTGTCAATGTGGGGCGAGCAGGGGCGGCAAATCTTGATGTAATCCAGGAAGTGGAGTATGTTAAGCAAGAGGCAAAAATAGTTTATCTTCTTGAGTGCCTGCAAAAAACCCCACCTCCAGTTTTAATATTCTGTGAGAACAAGGCAGATGTGGATGACATTCATGAATATCTTCTTCTGAAAGGAGTTGGAGCAGTGGCTGTTCATGGAGGCAAAGATCAGGAAGAAAGAGAGTATGCCATTGCAGCGTTTAAGTCTGGGAAGAAAGATGTGTTGGTTGCAACTGATGTTGCATCCAAAGGGTTGGACTTCCCTGATATTCAGCATGTTATTAACTATGACATGCCTGCTGAGATTGAAAATTATGTTCATAGGATTGGTCGAACTGGAAGATGTGGCAGGACAGGCATAGCAACAACATTTATTAACAAGAATCAAAGTGAGACAACCTTGCTTGATTTGAAACATCTGTTGCAAGAAGCAAAACAGCGCATTCCCCCTGTTTTAGCTGATTTGAACGATCCAATGGAAGATAATGATGAAATCACTGGTAAAAGTGGGGTCAAGGGTTGTGCCTATTGTGGTGGGCTTGGTCACCGCATTCGCGACTGTCCCAAGCTGGAACATCAGAAAAGCATGGCCATTGCAAATAGTAGAAAGGACTATTTTGGTGGTGGTGGATACAGGGGAGAGATCTGAAAGGCGCCACTTTTTGTATCAGTTTATTTTAGGATGGGCGTGTTTTGGTAGTTGTAATACGACTCTTATGTATAGTTGTATCTTATCTTCGTAGGATGAAATATAAAGAACTGCATACCTTAATTATCCATATCTATGGATCTTCCATCTGGATTGTGCTATATTTTCATCTGACTGTAGATTGTAACGTATTTGGTTCTGGCCAATAATCGCTTTCATGAGGTGTATTGTTGCCGCAATTATAATGTTTCCTGCACGAGTCATTTGTCTCACTTTGCATGTTGTAATTATGGGTAAAGTTTTTCATTTGTATCTAGTTTACTTGAATCGGTCGTTGAATCAAACAGCTGATAATTTTCTTTGTATTTCTTATTACACCGTAAATTGGAAGTAGTAATGATTATTGTAAGCTCAGCCTGCACAGTCACACCTTCCACCTCTAAAATCTCCTTTCTGAGGCACTTGTTTTCATTTTTGGTTCTCACTTTGAAGTTACTTCTTTATTTGGGCGAGAGGGTGCTTGTGAATGGCACAGACTGGGTCATTCCAGCAGCACTTTCTTCTACACATTTGTCATGCCCCTGAAGTATTACTGGAAGATCTATGAACGGACTTCAAGAACTTCAATGAATACAACGTTTGGAGAATGGTGGGAAATATACAAGTTTCATACTTTATTGATGTCTCAGATGGAAGAATCATAAAGATATGGGAGTAACTTAGAGTTTCTTGGAAAAATAAATAGCAGCTTGGAATCCTTTGGTGATCAACGATGGATTTAAGTTATGGCATAGAACCTCTGGCAGACCTGTGACAGCTCCTCCATCCTATTGTATAACATGAATAGATTGTGAAGATCTACTGTTAATATATGACTAGATTCTTGACCAATAAAATCTAGACTTGACAATCCTGTATAAACATTAGTAAATAATCACAAAAAAGTTGGGGAGTCCAACCTTGGACATTTGTTACCAGCTTTATCAGAAAATGAAACTATTACATATTCTCTTTCAGGGGAGTATTCTATTCTATATGTATACACACTATGAACACACACACCGTTTATATCTGCTAGATTGCCATAAGCTATAGTTAAGCCATGGAAAATATGCATACAATGTTTTTAGCTGCCGTTTCTCTGTTTCATGGTTATAAGTGGGTCCCAAATGCAAGAAATTTCTCAAATGAGCCCTACATGAAGTTTATTTCCCGCTGATTCATTCAACCACTTGTGCTATCTCCTAGAAGACCAAGAAAACAAATGCAATCTACTTCTTTTCCTGTGTAGTGTTATCATGCATGATCTACACAAATGCAGCAATTATGTAATAGTATTTGGAACAAAAAGATATACCTTCGGAGTCTTCATAATCAATTTCTCGCGGCAAACTTGTTCTCCTTTTACTCCCCTTCTATGCGAAAGCATATATTGCATACGCTGAAAGTAATGGTAAATTCTGTTCACCAACCCCCTCTTTTCTTTCACATGCCAAAGTATAGCTTGCTTCACACTCTCCGTGTCTTCTTCAAGTATTTTCAGCCGCTGATTAAGATGTTCTAATTCATCAACTTGGAGCACCCTTTTCATTCTGCAGTCCTTGATTCTATACATTTCTCGTCGCCTGCTTCTTGTGTCAGCAACAGAACTGAGACATTCAGAAGCATTGGAGAAAGCCTCTGAACTTTCAATCACCATTCTACTCTTGTTGCTGCTACTTGCAACCTTATTGAACTTTGAATGCTTCTCCCTTGAGCTGAGATAACAATCAAGTTTTGCCATTTTCTTCTGCCACAAGACCAACATTTCTTCACATTTTTGCAAGGAGCATAAATATTCAGTGAGAAATCCATCACGAACTTGGCTTTCCATCATGTGTTAGTTTGAACATGACACGCGAATAGGAAAAGTAAAGGAAAATGTATTTGATTTCACAAGACACCCCAGTACGTTCACTGATCCTTTATTTATCCTAGTAGTCTTCTCTAAATAACTAATGATCCTCTTAACTCGAATAACAAAGTAACAGAACACCTATAGAACTTGGCCACGAGGTTGTTCTTAAAACTCTGGCAGATATTATATGAAATCTCTGCCTCTCTGCATCGTGCATAGCACAAGGTGAGTGAAGAAGGATTTTATGTTCTTACCAAGAAATAGAAGTTGAGGAAGTTGGCTGGGAGGAAATATAACAGAAGTGAATGATGGTTTCTTACTACACACTACATAAGTAAATCTAAAATTCTTGGATCATTCTATGGTTGAAACTCCTCCTATATCACGTTAACTTTCCTTTCCTTAAAAGAGAGTACAAGTTTGGAGCAGACCTATTTCCTGTAGATTTGAGCTTCACTCTCCCCTAGTTACCTAGCCAGCTTCTTGTTGAATATATATGTATATATGAATATATATTAGGAAGCTTTTGATTTTATTCAGCTAAATGTTTGACTTCATCAATCTAGTTTAGTACTTTAAGATACCCAGATGATTAATTGCATTATAATCTCCATTTCGTACCAAGTGTTTGGTAGGATCCACACCTTACATCACACACGATGCGCACGATGCTACGAAATATGAGTATTTTAACAAATATTTGAACTAAACACAAAATGGATTCTTCAGATCTCCTACAAAGACATTTTTTATCTTCTTGGATCAGAACAAATCAATAGTATACTAGGTTGGGAAAAAAATCACTAACCATAAAATTAATCACATACTCTCATTACTCTGACGCATTTTTTCACTTACTTTACAAATTTTCAAGAATTTGAGGTCACGTAAAAAGAAAGCCAATTATGACGTGCTTGTGTAAATAATTCTTAAAAAGTATTTTGGTAAAAACCAAAAACTTTATAGTATACAAAGTAAGTATATAAGAGGAATTATATCTTGACTTGTGTAAAAGTAATTTTTTTAAGTGCTTTTACTTATACCAAACATTAGACAAAATCTGCAGCTAAGGAGGAATTTCATGGCCTTTAAAAAAAAAAAAAAAAGAAGTTCAAGTTTTACAACTGAGTTTTGGGAAATGGTGGAGGAAGGAAATTGCCGGATATTGGAAATGCATACTCTCTATTTCTCCTTTCTTTTCGCCCTCAAGTCTTGTACTGTACGAGGCAATTAAAATCTGATTCCCAAGATAAAAATGAACATTGGTAGTTGTGTGCTTTCATTTCAATGTGAACTATGTTACAAGGATTGGGTGTAACATGATGTCCAATTTTTGTTTCTTAAGAAAGCTGAGAAAATCGCAGGCTACTCTAATCAACAGGAATTTCAACATCCATTTTTAAGCCTGAACCGCCAAGAACCTGTGACAAATAACATAAAACATTAGAAAATATACCAAACAAACAGGAATAAACTCCAAGTAATCCATATCAGACTTAAATGTACAATTACACTTGAATTATGCGCCTATTTTTTTCCTTAATTCTTTACCTCTTCGGTTACTATTTCACGCACGGATATTGCACAGAATTATAAACTCTGATGTGGTAGAAAAGCAACCCAAATTCTTTAAAAATGTTCAGAAAAGCCTATTCAAATTAACAGTAATGTGAACTTGCTATTAATTCCAACTACACTCTTGGTTCCATGCCTTTTATGGAGTCTAAAGTAAGTTATACAGTTTATAACCTAGTACTTCTCAGATTCACAACATAAGTCATTTTCTTCCAGCTCTTCTTGATCTAAAATGTAGATCCAGTTTAAGGTATTTGATGTTTTTTCCCCTTCATTTTGCACTTCTGTACAATTAATGAGCCGACTTCCATTTAGTATGGTCTTTAACTTTTAATAAGGATAGAGTTGAAAAATGCTACAATATTTTTATACCTTTAATGAGCCAATTATTATTTTGGTCCACGCGTGTCTGAATGTGGACCTATGCTTTGGACCGAAGGAGTGTATTTCTTTATAGATTTCATTATATATATATATATATAGAGAGAGAGAGAGAGAGATGATTGATGATTTCCACGCATCTCATTGTTTCATAAAGAGACACCTAAAGCAGACCTAATTTCAGGACTAAAAATGCACTAGACAAACATTCTAATTTCAGACCTAATTTAAGAAACTTAAGTATATTCCATCTTTTTTGCAAAAAAAAAAAAAAAAGAAGTATATTCCATATTAAGGTCCACAAGTTAAACAGGCCTACACATTGTAATGGACGGACCAGATTTTTTTTCCCAAGAAAAAACTCGAATTTATCCATTCAATAAGTGCCCTTCCTCTCATGATGAGTACCCGAATTTGTTACAGGAATCATGAACTCAAATGCACAAACCTTAATGAAGTCATCCAATGTCAAGTAGGAGTCTTTTGAATACCCTGCTTCATTTAGAACTTGGCTCAGGACTTGCTGAGAAACATAGAATAGAGAACAAAATTAGTCAAGGTCCACTTTAAGCCTTGTGCTATTAACAAAACAGAAGAGACATGTAAAATTATTTGTCTTGTACGATGAAAAAGCTCAGACAGAATTAAAAAGAAATGAGATTTTTCATCAAATGGAAACGCAATTAGTCTACAGGTAATCCAAACAACAGAGAAGGAAACATGAATTATTAAAAAATATTCAAAAAATAATTGTTTGAAGATCGTTATAGGTATTTCAATCAAAGGGATGACTGTTCAGGCGGGGCAAACAAATTTAAACAAGTACAACCTATTACTCTCCACAAGAATTAAGAATGTTTGGTAAAAAGTTCATCCACCATTTCATGGAAATTACATTCCAGTATCCCAGGATCTCAATATGGATAGCAAATTAGTAATAAAAGTGCTTCCTGGTTCCTAGTAACTAAGCAATGGAGTTGATTGTGTAGATCTTTGGTCATACCTCTCTCTGTTCATCAGACATGAATGGACCAGACAGATCTTTTAGGACTTCCAGCATATCTTTGAAAGACACCTTTCCATTACGATCTGAATCATATACTTTGAAGATAACTACAACAGAGAAAAACGAGTAACTATAGCTATCCACATAAACACCACTAATGAAAAATCATACCCGATTATAGTTTACAAATGCATGACGTGAATTTTGCGTTCATAATTTCTATTAGGTGGAAGCTATTTTAACGCAACCAGGTAAATGTGGTCAACACCATGTTTCTGCTGCAATTCCAAACACAGCTTCCAGGAAAGATTCTTGATTAAATCTGGGTAGAAAGATCGAGCAATGAACATTTACCGGGATCCACCACTAACAAATTTAAATGCCAACTCATCATTGGCTTAGTGCATGTACACCAATCTATCTTAGAATCTTTTTTCCAAGTTACAAAGGCAAGCCGAGGGTTGAAACACAAAAATTAGGACCCACTCCAAGAAGTCTCATTAACACTTAGTGTATTTGTCATCTCTCATAGAATCTGTTTTAGCCTACTTGTCTCAAAAGTTTTTCATGCTTACATTACCATTGACTTCAGTCCTTCTCTCTGGCCCATAAGGCCCTACTTAATCAACTAACAAGCCTAAAGTCTATGGACAAGCAGTTCAGAAAATTCAACTTATATAATTACCAGATCATAATCAGTCCCAAACGGACAATATATTTTCTGACTGCTCAAGCTCTTCTACTGTCGATAAACTAACAAGAGATTTTCAGTTGATTAGTTTATCACAGAGAACAAAACCTTCTGAAATATTTACATGTTTATTCATGATTGGAATTGCCTTGATTTTCTAAGACTAACTCCACCTAAGAACTTCTTAAAACAGCCACACAAGTATAAAGAACACATGAAACTGCCATACAACTGATACATACGTTCTATTTTTTGCTGTGAACTTGCTTTGGCACTAAATGCAGACAAGAAGGCCACAAAGTCTTTAAAGTTCAAACCATCCACCATCTTAAGCAGCCTCTGCAAATAACCAAATCATCCATCATATAGGAGCATGAAGAACTGCAGAGATCCCACAATAACCCAGAATCTTAATACGAAACAACTATTTACCTGAGAAAGTGAATTCAAAGAAAACTCAGGAACAGATAAGAACTCATCTGCTGATATAAATCCCTTGGCATTACGATCAAGTTGGCAAAATCTTTCATACAAGGCCACTATTTCCTCCTGGGAAACTGATTTTCACACCAAAGTAGACCTAACTCAAATAAAAGCAGCACAATTTGGAGAACAATGTAAAGTAAGAGTAAGGTAAGGGACATCTACATAAATTATTGCAGTATTCTTGGACTTCCTCGATGTCATATTGAGTCAGCATGGATGATGCACTCCCCATCTCTTCTCGGCTTCAAACAGAAGAAGAAGAACAACAGGATTAATGTCTTTACTATATTCGGTATTCGCTAACAAGTCACAATCTTTGCCCAGGAAATGATATCAAATATGAATACTACAGTACTTGTTTGAAAAGAATTTATTGGCGAAAGATCCATAATCCATTTTGACTATTCCATGATTACATGAATGGGTGTATCAGAATTTTCTCGGGACCGAAACAGAGAGCGAGACAGTATGGGAGAGGGAAGATGGAAGAGACCTGAAGGGCTGTAATCGAATCGAATCTTCGGGCTGAAGATGAATAGATGATGATGCTTTCTTCCAGATGGGACCGCAGAAATATACACGTGGGTTGCTTAGTCATCATCGATTTCTTCAAAACGCAGCTATTTGTTCTGTTCCAAATTAATCGTCTCGTCCTGTGGACCTCTCGATGTTTTTAAGCCCAGGCTTGAGTAACTCGCTGAGCAAAGTACAAAACAAAACATTCTCGTTCTTGACAATGACCGATTGGGCTTGTGTTTATGAGTCTTCGAAGGATTTAAGAAAAATTAAAATAATCTAAACACTTCTAGCACAAGGGAATAGCCTGCAACACGATGATAAATTAAGATGTTAATTCCTGTTGAAAGAAGTATACATATTTAGTATTTGACAGTGTCTTTAATAAGAGAATTATCTGCTAAAATTAAGGAAAAATGACAGATAAAAAAGGTGGAATATCTGAAATTCCAATTTGAGAAGCTAAGGAAATGTAATGACAATGAGAGAAGTCCTTCCCAAATTGAAATTTTAAAATTCAATGAAATGACAAAAATACCCTTTATCTTTTTTTTTTAAAAAACTTAGCCCCTCACCGGTGGCCAGCCGCTGGTGTGGTGGCTGCCAGTGGAATTTTTTTGTAACAGTTTTTTTTTGTATGGGAGAATATTGCAAGAAGTGGTAGGAGTGGGATTTGACCCCACAACTAGAGCCGGGAATCAGGGCCGGCCCGGCCCTCCAGGGCTAAAATTTTAAAAATACCCCAATTTGTTAGGCTCGACCCTTAAGCTACAGGGCCAAGGCCGGCCCGCGGGCTTTTGGCCCGTTTAAGAAAAAATACTATTTTTTATATTTATAATATTTTTTTATAAAAATATAAAAATAAACCAATGAAATTATTAATAAAAGACATAAATATGAATAAAATTAAGTCACAAATATAAAATATCATCTTATATAAATATTTATCAACATCTAAAACATTCATTAACAAGATAACAATATCTAAAAGTTTTATCTATAATGCAATTGTGCAATAAATAAACACTATCATTAATCTTTTGAAACTTTATCATCACTATAATTAATTACTTTTCTTCATAAGTATACTTTTCTTTCGTAACAAAAATATCAAGTTTTTCTTCTTTACAAGAATTTTATTTTTAAATTTTGCAATTTAACTATTATTTTACTTTAATGTGAGAAACATTGTTGTTGAAACTCATGAATTTCTAATTCAAATTATAGAATCACAAGTTATATAAGTATAAAAATATTCTATTATCAAATATATATATAGTTTAAAAATATCAACGCATATAATATAAATCAAATCATTATTAAAATCCAAATTAACCCATTTTTTAAAAATTTAATTGGATAAATTATTGTCTAAAACTAAATTTAATTTTAAAATGATAATAATAACTAAATATTTGAAATATTATTAACAATGTAAAAAATTAATAACATTAATATTATAAAAAAATTTAAAAAATAAAAAAAATTATAAAAGGGCTTAAAAGGGCCTCGGCCCTTCAGGGTTTATTTTTCATTTTAAGAGAAAAATATCAAGCCTGACCTTTATAATTTCAGGGCCTAAACGGGCTCGGCCCGTTTTCCCGGCTCTACCCACAACCCCTTGGCCATTTGGGCCAACAAAAGGACAGATGACCATTGGGCCATCAAAGGCTTCTTAATTTTATAATGCAAACAAAAATATAAGTTGACTCTTTTACTATGACTCCAGCCCATGGCAATAATTTACCTCAGGATGACAAGTCTTAATTGAGAAATAACAAGTCTAAATTTGATATTAACAAAACAACTTTTCTTGATATATAACAAGAAATAGCATGTACATTAATTAAAAATGACCATAATTTATTTGAAAATGACACGTCTTTACTGAAAAATGACACGTCTAAATATGATATTAACAATATGTCTTTTTCTGATACATAACAAGAATTAGCATGTACATTAATTAAAAATGACCATAATTTATTTGAAAATGACACGTCTTGTTATGTATCAGGAAAAAGACATATTGTTAATGCTACTTCTTGTTATGTATCAGGAGAAGACATATTGTTAATTTCAAGTTTAGACTTGTCATTTTTCAGTAAAAGACATATTGTTAATGCTACTTCTTGTTATGTATCAGGAGAAGACACATTGTTAATCTTAAGTTTAGACTTGTCATTTTTCAGTAAAGATGTGTCATTTTCAAATAAATTATAGTCATTTTTAATTAATATACATGCTACTTCTTGTTATGTATCAGAAAAAGGCATATTGTTAATCTCACGTTTAGACGTGTCATTTTCAAATAAATTGTCATTTTTAATTAATATACATGCTATTTCTTATTATGTATCAGGAAAAATTACTTTGTTAATATCAAATTTAGACTTGTTATTTCTTAATTAAGACTTGTCATCCTGAGATAAATTCTTGTCACAGGCTGGAGTCATAGTAAAATAGTCAAGTTATATTTTTGTTTGCATTATAAAGTTAAGAAGTCTTTGATGGCCCAATGGTCATCTACTCTTTTATTGACCCAAATGGCCAAGGGGTTGTGGGATTAAATCCTACCCCCACCACTTCTTGCAATATTCTCCTATACAAAAAAAAAAACTATTACAAAAAAATTCCACCGACAGCCACCACACCGGTGGTTGACGGCGGCCAGTTGCCAGTGGTGGCTGCCGGCGGCAGACCGCCGGTAAGGGGCTGAGTTTTTAAAAAAAAGAAGATAAAAAGCATTTTTGTCATTTCATTGAATTTCAAAATTCCAATTTGGGAAGGACTTCCCTCTTTGTCATTACATTTCCTTAGCTTCCCAAATTGGAATTTCAGATATTCCACCTTCTTTATCTGTCATTTTCCCTAAAATTAATCTTATCAAAATCATAATTGAAATTATAATTAGTTAGTAAGTCTTCGTCAAAATTAGAATTATCTATTGAGGGGATATTTGGAAAGCATCAAAAATGTTTCTGAAAAGCACTTTTTTGTAAATTGAGATAAATTCCTCCACATATTTACTTTGTATACCGTAAAAGCACTTTTAAAATTATGATTTTAATTCTATCTAAACACTCTTTGAGTTCCACGGTAGATTACAGAAATTTTATAAAAGCATATATCTAGTCATTTAATGGCTCCCAAAGCCAATTGCTTGATTGCTTTATATATATATATATATATATATATATATATATATATATATTGTATTCCTTAATTTATTGCAACTTGCAAGTCAATTGTTTAAAAAGGTTAATATTAGTTGGATTAAATATAAGGAACTTATTCCCCTTAAACAAGGTTGAAGTTTCAAATTTTGGATTTAAAAAATGCATGTAAAGGATTATTTATAATTAAGCTCGGCAATATTCATGATCTTAGATTATGTTCTATAACAAAAATAGTTAACAGTGAGTAGTCAGTTAAAACGAGATTATTAGCATTTTAACTTTAACACAGAAAAAAGAGAAAGTAAGAGAACATATGCATACATCATGTAGAGACAAAGCGTTTTCGAAAGTTTCAAATCATTTGTAGGCGACAAACGGCTTCCTAGACCGAGACTAACGTAGTATGCTGTGAACTAAACGAAGAAACACACAAATTCTTGGTCTTAACACCAACTAAGAACATTAAATATAAGCTCGTAGTAGTAGGGCACTACATCCATTTAACCAATCCTATGCTTTGACGTCCTCTTGACAAATCTTACATTATATCTTGGGTCTTGCAAGCTTCCTCTTATAATCCAAAAATGATGTTTACAGCAGCAACCTCAGAGTCTTGGAATTGGATCCCATCTAAACGACTTACCACGTTAACTAACAAACATCCTAGAATATTTTTTCCGTAGCACTTAATCTTCTAAAATAATTTTTATGCATTTAACATTTTAAAATATTTTTTTAATAACACCAAACATTTTTTAAACATCACCCAGTATCCCAAGTTTCTAGAGTGCTTGTTGCTATAAAAAAAAAAATACTCCTCCGGTCCTTAATATAAAACCTATTTAACTAATTTGATTAGATTAAAGAAGTTAGGTAAGTTAGTTAATTACAAAAAAATATAACATATTTTTTTCAAAACACCATAATCATCATTCTTGATATCCTCCCTCCCTCTCTTACTTGATTATAGTTAAGAGAATATCCACAAGGATAATTTAAAAAATATTAATAAATATGAGAAATAGATCTTATATTTAAGGTCAAAATTAACTTAACAATTAGGTCCTATATTAAAAACCGAAGAAGTATATATTAAGAAAAAAATTACGTCAAAAATTACTTTGGAATACTGAATGACATTGAAAAATATTTTAAAATATTGTATCTACCACATATTAGTTTAGAATACCAAGAGCTTTTGGAAAAATACTTGAGAGTGCCGAATATAACTTAACCTTCTAAAATTATCCAAGACATATTTCAATGACCTTATTGGTACAGTCTGCTTCTGCTTAGCCAAATGAAAATGATCATACACTTGAGATGGTTTATTGATACTAGGGATATAGATACCTAACATATTTCATATCAGGGTAAGCTCCGATTTCATCATCATTACCATTGATGTATAAATAACACTCATACAGTAAGAAACACGACAAGAGACGAATGGCATTTTATGGACCATTTTTGGAGAAACACCATCTTGGAAGGGCAGATACAAAAAATTGGGAGTGTGTCTGAAAATTTATCAATACAACGAATAAAGCAAGCTCCAATAGTGTGTGAGCCTTACATTATTGAAAGCAAAAGCATCATACTTCAGCAGGCATCCAGGTCTCGGCATGGAGGTGGCTTTGGGTCACTTAATAGAGTGGTATTCCCTCCTTCAGGTCCAGACTTGATCCGCTTGGGATTTTGGGTGCCATGCTAAATAATACCGGGGAAAAAAAGGATTTAAATTCAGATCATGAAATAATGAGAATCTTAAACATGAACACAAAGAACAAT